CTGGGACCCCATTCGGGCCCATCCAGGGACCCTCATCAGAACCCCCTGAGACCCCCCACCATGACCATGCCTGGATCACTCCTGGGACCTCCCCCAGAATCCCCCCTTTAGTACCCTGAACACCACCAGGACCCCACCCGGGACCCCTCGGGGACCCCCTGTCTGACCCCCGTGCCAACCCTGCCCTGCTGACCCCCGCAGGAGGTGGCCCAGCGCATGGGGCTGGACACAGGAACCAGCTCGTCCCTCTGGAAGGACCGGGCAGCAGTGGAGGTGAACGTGGCCGTGCTGCACAGCTTCCAGGTGGGACCCCTGTGGGACCCCCAGCACCGGGACCCCCACCCTGCTGGGATCCCCCATGCCAGGAATTCCCCATGGCCAGGACCCCCACCCTGCTGGGATCCCCCATGCCAGGAATTCCCCACGGCCGGGACCCCCTTACCAGGACACTCTGAGTGCTGGGACCCCCACCCTGCTGGGATCCCCCGTGCCAGGAACTCCCCATGGCTGGGACCCCCTTACCGGGACACTCTGAGTGCTGGGAGCCCCACACTGCCGGGCCACAGGAACCCCAAATCCCTGTGCCCCCTGTCCCCGTAGGTAGCCCAGGTTTCCATTGCCCCCCGTCCCCACAGGTAGCCCAGGTTTCCATTACCCCCCATCCCCGCAGGTGGCCCAGGTGACCATCGTGGACCACCACGCGGCCACCGAGTCCTTCATGAAGCACCTGGCGGCAGAGGGGCAGGCGCGGGGCGGGTGTCCCGCAGACTGGGCCTGGATCGTGCCCCCGCTCTCGGGCAGCCTCACACCTGTGTTCCACCAGGAGATGGTCAACTACCACCTGAGCCCCACCTTCCGCTACCAGGTGGGACCCCCGCCCCACAGACCCTGCCCCACCGCCCTCTGCATGCCCTGGCTCTGGGCTTGGACCCACACGTCCCGCCCCACACGTCCTGCCCCACGGCTCCCCAGCCCCTCTGCCCCCTCCCTGCTGGAGGTGTACTGAGCCCCCGGGACCCCCCAGGACTTTCTGGGACCGCCCTGGGCACCGCTGATCCCTGCAGGACCCCCAACCCTCTGCATCCCCTCCACCGGCACCAACCCCACGGCTGCACCCGGGGCACCCCACAGCAGGACCCCCAACCCTCTGCATCCCCTCTACCGGCACCTACCCCACGGCTGCCCCCAGGACACCCCACAGCAGGACCCCCAACCCTCTGCATCCCCTCCACCGGCACCAACCCCACGGCTGCCCCCAGGACACCCCACAGCAGCCCCCGAGCATCCCTGGGACGCCCCCAGCACCCAGCTGGGCTCTCCCTCAGCTCCTCCGGGAGCTTTCCAGCCCCCCACGAGCCCTCACGACCCCCAGTGCTCCCCAAGACCCCCAGGTCACATTC